TATAACATGTAGACACTCAATGCTTTGTACACTATACGATCGGTGTTTTTATGGAGCCAACCCTATATTATGTAGTAGTGAAGGAGTAAAAAAAATCAATACACATAATAATAAATTTTATTACACACATTCTTAGAATAATTACTTTAAAAGAGACGAAGGTTTATTTAAAGCGATGTTTTAGACAAATATGTTTCATTTGAAAAAGACTGCTCTTCTTGTTTGTTTGTTTGAAGTTAAGCACAAAGCTACACAATGAGCTATCTGTGCTCTGCCCACCACGGGTATCGAAACCCGGTTTCTAGCGTTGTAAGTCCACAGACATACTGCTGTGCCATTGGGGGCGGCCGCTTTTCTACTGGTAAAATTGTATACGCACTTTGTGGGGGTTGTGTCTTAGTATACGCATATATTAGCCTATTGCTATGCATTATATACATAGAATTTAGTTATACAGAAACAATAAATGTTTACTATATGATAATCTTCAGCTGCAGCTTAACGTTTTACATATCGAACTAATGTGATCAAATAGTCAATAGCTACAGTAAATCATCATGGACCGTACCAACTAGCTTTGTATATTATCATTAAAATGTATAAAGTAAGCTACCATACCAAGTAATCCTTTCCCCATAGTTGAGCATAAAAAAGCCAGTAAACAAGATAAATAAAGAATTGGGAATTCAAAGACTAACAAATAAGAATCGTAAAAAAGTTGACATTATTTACTCAAACAACAAATTCCTATTTTTACTCCACCAACTGTAATTCTAAGTAACAGCATAGAGCTAAAATAGGAGTTTGTAGTTTGAGTAAGTAATATCTATAGTACCTGCAGCCTTGTTTGTTTACATTTTTTTTTACGATCCTTATTTGTTAGTATTTAAATTCCCAATTTTTTATTTATCTTATTATATTTTAAGCCTGATAGTTTATTTATGATCATAGGTCTTGTTAACAGATTTTGCCCAGAATAACATGGAGTGAAATTACGGTAAGAAAAGTTATAATCTAATGTATCTTATAAAGTAAGGAAGAAAAAGTCTCTTCAGAAACCATTTATGTTGATCTAAAATGACATTAAGTGTTCTAATTTCACTTTAAGAAGCTTAAATAGTGCTTCTCATTTTTGACTTTAACCAATAAAGCACCCCGGTAGAAAAAAATAAATAAATCGGCGTTTTCCAATAAATACCGGAAATAGTTATTCAGTTTACATTAACGTCCCCACTCCCCACTTCCTGAGTCATTGTGCTCGCGAGGTTTAACCTTTCTGTACAGGTTCTTTCGTTCATATAAAACAGTAACTGCTTTAACATAAATAAAACTATGTTTTGAACCTGTTATTACTTCCATACGAGAAACAATTAGCGTGCAGAGGATATACGGTATATTAGTACACTATTAAAATAAAAAACTCAGAAATACACAAATTCTAAAGTATCTAAATAAAACTAAAAATGAAAACCCCGGTTTTAAGATATCAAAATAAAACTATAAAACAGCTAAAAATAAACACCATAAAACAGAAACCCTAAATTCATTTTAAAAAGTCATCTTTTTTTCTTTTTTGTTATCGCTGAGAAAAGGTTCAGACTAAAAATAAGTAATCGAAAAACAAACTCTGAAATATCACATTAAGCTTGCTTTAAAAATTAATTCAAATAAAGGTATGATTCAAGAAAAATATGCTGAAAAAAGTTCACGTTTCCGTGTAAAAAAAAACCATCTGGTGATTGAACAAAAGAGTTCAGATAAGTTTAAGAAACTTCAGACTGCCATGGAAAAAGTTGTTTCTCAGACCCTTGGTAAAAAAAAAAAAAAAGAAAAGTTTTATAATTCAGTTAAGTAAATGGTAAAATATTTGCTTATCCACGGAGTTAGTCTACCTAGGTAGTGAAAAATGCGAACAGAAAAATCAACTTTAAAAAGTGCTCTCCTTAGCTGAAATTTAGCTGTGTTTAAAAAGGCTTAGTGTGTCAGATTAGGTAAAGCAGTGAAGTTTTGTTTTTTAAAAGAGGTGGTATTGGTATTTAATACCCGACAGGCATTTTACACAACATAAGCTAAACAACCAGGTCTGAGACCCCTACGATTCGGACACAGTCGTTTTTGTTTTGAGCTACTGACCAGAGGCTCGTCAAGAAGCGAGCCGTTCAATGTAAGCGGGTCACGTCGTTTTGTGTGCCATACTTAACACACCGCTCAGTGAAACAAAATGAACGCCACCAGTGAAAACAGCAGGTTACAAAAACTAAAGGTGTTAGCGTTTTGCTTCTTCTATTCGAAGAAGAAATGGTGTAGTAATTCCACCAGTCCTTGCTGCGGAGTTTGGAGGGCGTAGTACTACAGGCGTAAAGGAATCTGTATTTCTTAGCTAAACTGAAAGTAATAGAGGCTACCATGCAAAACAAAAAAGGTTAGTTGGATTCACACATTAAGCCTAACTAGGAGTGCACTACAAATACTGCTAATACTACGGTGTTAATCAGGAACTTAATTTCTTTATTTGATTGTTTCTTTCGAAATTCACTTTAAGATAGATATATAATCATATAAATATTCTACATTCTTGGAGAATGAGAAACAGTGACATCATTGTCAGTCTACAAACAGTATAACTCGTTGTCCATCATCACTAATTGAGAACGCTCGGCCATCTTGAAAATTCCAATTATGATCGTAAATGAAATTCGCTCACTGACTGGCTCACGGTGAACCGGAGCCGATCAAGATCACAATCAACTACTTGACAAACCTAGTCAGCTTTGAACCTAATCATGGGATTGACTGTTGCTTTTATCATTCTCCCATAGCTGAAAATGTAGAGCATATTGTGCAGTGGTAACGCAGCGCGATCAATATTGGAAATGTCGATCGGTAGTTCAGAACGCTAACTATTAAGCCACACCAAGCTTGTTTGTTTGTTTTTGAATTTCGCGCAAAGCTACACGAGGGCTATCTGCGCTAGCCGTCCCTAATTTAGCAGTGTAAGACTAGAGGAAATGCAGCTAGTCATCACCACCCACCAGGGCTACTCTTTTACCAACGACTAGTGGGATTGACCGTCACATTATAACTCCCCCACGGCTAAAAGGGCGAGCATGTTTGGTGGGATGCGAGTCGAGCACCCTAACCACCTGGCCATGCCGGGCCACACCAAGCTTAAAGTGTTCATTGTCCCTATTTTCTAAAAAAAAAAACTGTTTCCCAAAGTTTCTAAAACAAAACAAAAAACCTTGATTTTCTAGTTTATTTTATTCATAGTTCTTGAATAATAATATTTCGTATACACAATACTATATATGTAGTTATCAGATATTCAAATTTACATGTCCTTTATAACAATAGAAAAAGTAAAAAAAAACAACAAATTATATGTTTGACAGTGTTCATGACATCAAAAACTTGTATTATATAAACCAGACCAGTCTTTTCTTTTTCTATAAGATATAATGAATAACAAATAAACCAAACCTAGATACAGCGCTGTGAATAAATGTTGGTCTCTCTCTTGACGTGTATAATTTACAAAAGATCGTACTATGTGCCGGCGAATGCGATTATCAAAACAACAGAAACACATTTGTGACGTCACTATATTCTCTGATTCACTTATCCATTTACACTAAGAGAAGATATGTCTAACGCTTGAAGGGGTTACACTGTCAGAAACCGTCAACAACTAAATTCTGCTTACAACACTGAATTTGATTACAAAAGTATTGATTGTTTGTTTATTTGAACTTAAGCACAAAGCCACACAAAAGGCTATCTGTGCTCTGCCCACCACGGCTATCGAAACCTGGTTTCTTTCTAGCGTTGTAAGTCCGCAGACGTGCCGCTGTGCCACTGGGGAAGGGGGGGGGGCAAAAGTGTTGCAACCTCAATATTCGCGCAAGTGAATAAAACGAACGCGGATATGCAAATAACACATTCAAAACGTAATTTCAGTTGTCTATGGTATCACATTGTTTTACCAGTACCATAGTTTACCATAATATTCACGATTTTTAACTTTGTGTTAAATTATAACCTAAAACAACAATCCAACAATGCTCATTTCGCTCGAGGCAACGTTTTCCACCATTCAAGATTCTACACTTTCAAATGCTGTAGTAAACCAAACTTTAAAATCGTTTAATACTCTTATCTACTGACGAAATGCAATAGTCTGAAACAGAGGTTTATTCAGCCTAATGTGTTAAAAAACAAACCTGTGTTAATTCAATTTTACGATTTTAAATAAATAATTAATTGGCCTAAAATCTCTTTCAATATTAAAATACCTTGATAGCTATAATCATACCTATCAGAATGTTTATATATATATATATATTACATTCTGATGTATGATTGAATCTCACAGATTATTGGAAAACGTAATAAGCACTAAACATTAAGTATTGTTAAAAAAAGACAATAGGTGGATAATTGTATTCACGGGAAGATTTTAATAGTCGTTTTTCACTATTAAGATATTTGTGATTCCAGTTAAGAACAGTATATTTTATATTATCTTTCCTCAATTTCTTTCTGGGTCGTCATCCTACATTTTTAATGTCTAAAATTTAAAGTACGGTTTTGTTTTCTTCTTTCCTTAATATTTAAATCATATTGCATATAGAATTAGTTATTCGATGTCTCACTCCCGAGCTCGCCGTCAGAGGGCGGGTCTAAAGATGTATGCACAGTAACTTGTACATTCCTGTTGACACTAACCGCGGGAAAGAACACTCCACAAAGATCCGAGAACGCCACAGGCCCTTGACGTTCATCGTTCACGTAGAAACGCAGCTGGTGATGGTTTAAGTCCAGAAGAACTCCTACCACATCCCCATCATCTACACCTCCTTCAGTCCTATTCTCATGGTGATCAGCATGAAGAAACCACGACCTCTGGTGGTCAATATACATACTCCATCCTTTCTCATCCTTTCCTGTAAAATGATAAAATCGGTTATTTAATACGCCTAGGAATATGAATAAGTTTCTCAGCTCAGTGTCTCATGTTAAAATACTGAAACTAATGTTCAGGAACGTGCATATTGCTGGAAATGTTTATATCAAAGTAAGCGAAAAAAGCAGAAAAGTACGACTGATACACATGCTATATATTTAAATGATCCGATATGTCTACGTAGAAGAAGGGTAATGTGCTAAATTAGTGACATACGACATCTGTGTGAATATAAAATGTTCAAGTACAAAATTAACTCAGTTCATTAACCCTACAAATTTTGGATAACAAGTACCAAATGAAAACGTACAAAACAGGCGCTTAATTCAGGTTCTGCGGTCTACTGACTGTGACCAGATGATGAAAATCAGTGTCGTGAAACAACAAGTACACTTACACCAAGGTCACTACTGTGTATGTGTGTTCATAATATGTGTATAATACCATCTTTCCTATAACTACTTACTGTCAATATTAATAATGCTTTGTGATATAAACCGTCTTTTTTATTATTTCTTTTCATGTAGATTGTGCTATCATATTATGAGTAAAAAACACTAAAGCCGACGTTTTTTGACACATTGAACGGTAAAATCTTTATTATTAGCTATAGCCGGCTAGTTTCGGTAACACATTTACCATCATCAGATACTACCCCTGAAGATGGTAACTGCGTTACCATCTCTAGTCGGCTATAGCTAATAATAAAGATTTTACTTTTCACTGTGCCAAAAAAAAAAAAAACGTCGGTTTTTTGTTTTTTACTCTTAATAGGTATTTTTTTTATATTTATACGAATGGAATCACTTGTATTAAAATTAAATTCACTACTTAATTTTCGTGCAAAAAGTAGCAAAACCTTTCAGAGAGAGAGAATTTCACCCCTTTTCAAATTGTTTCAAAACTTTATACTAAACTACTATACGTATGTATGTGTGTTCTTGACGTTCACAATCGTGTTTTTCGAAAGATATATATTTACATGTGTGTGTGTGTGTTTTTTACGTTACCATTAACAACCAACAACAATGTCGATAAATTACTTGCGATAAGTCAACATACAGGAACAAATTGTCGTATCAAAAATATTACCTAACATTTTATCCAGAGCGACATCTGCTCTAGCAACACCAAAGGCAGGATCAGCGTGGCCACCATATTTGTCGACGGTAAACTCCCAGTAGTGGATACCTCGAGAGAACCCCACGTTCCCAAGAACCACCCTGTGTTCATAAGTATCACATGTTACCGTTTGGTTCTCACTAGTCAGTAGAATGTCCGGAGGAGCTGATAACGGGTCGAAAGTAAACCAGGCGACTAGAAAATACGCAGAATTTGAAGTTATCCCACTTGAACGTGGAAGACAAAAATACTCTTTATAAAAAAATGATATTTAATAACGGAAGTTTTAACATAAAACTCGCTGTACTTATCTTAAAATCATATAAATCTGTATAAGTCAAACCTAAGCGCTTTCGAATAGTGGACCTTTTTTACATCAGTTTGCCCATGATTTATGATTTAAGAAAAATCAGCTGATTAGATATGGCTTCACTATCTCGTAAGTCAGGTATTTTTACTAATTGTTCGTAACTAGTAAAATCTATGTTGCCATGGTGTTCTACACGATATTCTTCTGTTAAAAATCACACAATATCATACCTTTATTAATCTTTACATTGTCCCCCGGTGGGACAGCAGTAAGTCTAAGGACTTACAATGCTATAATCCGGAGTTCGATTCCCCGCGGTGGACACAGCAGATAGCCCAATGAGGCTTTGTTATAAAAACAAACAAAGTTTACATTAATTGTTGCTGTTTGTCATTCAATTTAATCGACAGCAAAATCACAGGTAACTCGTGGTCTTTCTTCAAATGATAACTTTTAACCCTTAATGATCGTTTTGATTATTATTATAACTTACGTTTTCTAGGTTTTTCAATCATCAGGCTTTTAAATATATGATTTGGACCCCGGTTCTATAACTTCTTCATTAAGAAAACTTTGCATTAGTCATTTCTGTATAATTCAAAATGTAACAAAAACTTGCATGGTAGATCTATAGGTGATTTGTATCTACTATATACGTGTAATCGTTCATTTCAAACAATTGATAATTTGAAGTGTTAATTAAGTGTTTACCATTGATGGTGCTATTACAAGTACGCAAAGTCCATGGCTTGGTTTTAGTTTGTTTTGAATTTCGCGCAAAGCTACTCGAGGGCTATCTGCGCTAGTGAACACTCCCACCGCCAATTCTTGGACTACTTTTTTACCAACGAATAGTGGAATTGACCGTGACATTATAACGCCCCCACGGTTGAAAGGGCGACCCTCAGATTAAGAGTCGAGCGTCCTAACCACCAGGCTATGCAGGCCAAAAGTCCTTGGCAAAAATATTTGTAGAGCGAATCTTTCTGTGTTTTCTTATACAGATATGTTATAAATTTAAATATCAATTAAAGGTCACTTTGAATAAATCTGTGAACAAAATATTGTAGTCTGCATTGTTCGAAATAAAATAAACGTTTTTCAGTTGCGATCGAAATACTTTTGGTGCAGTACTTTCAATAGAAAGATTTGGGGATATACTATGTAATAACTATCAAAAAGATTATACAAAATTATATTATTTAACACTTGGATTAAGGAAAATGACTAATTTCTGTAAAGTCTCGAGGTTCGATGAATTTATCTGAGAAACAATTTACTTGTTACGTTTATTTTTTGACCACCTGCCTTTCAGCTGAATCCTTTTGCATTATATACATCATTTTATTTAACAGACTTCAAGACTCACTCATGGATATTCAAATGATAAACAACCTTTCACATTTTCTACGTTGTATCAGATATTCACATAGCTCCCTTGCATGTTCAGTTCTTAATTCTGGTGGTAAGTATTAGTGACATAGCTCCCTTGCATGTTCAGTTCTTAATTCTGGTGGTAACTATTAGTAACATAGCTCCCTTGCATGTCCAGTTGTTAATGCTGATGATAAGTATTATTGGCATAGTTCCTTTGCAATGTTCAGTTCTTAATGCTGGTGGTAAGTATTAGTGACATAGCTCCCTTACATGTTCAGTTCTTAATTCTGGTAATCACTTTTAACAAGTAGACTCACCTTCCTCTGTACATAGTTGTATTTCTTTGCTGTAAGGACTTTCCCCTTTATTGTTAAATGCCTTGACTCGGGTCTTGTACTCGGTGTTGAAGTGTAATCCGTTCACAGTTGTGACTGTGTCAGGTCCACGGTATACTTCCTGGATCATAATAAAACAAAATCCAAACACTCATATTTAATAATCACACATTTGCAGGAAAGTGCATCAATAGCGAATACCAGTCTCATACTTAAAACAAATCTTAGTGCATTAAGTCAGTAATGAATTTTGAAACAATATCTATGGTAAAACTTAATGATTAATTACTGAACATTGTGATTTATTCATTGAGATTCTGAAAACCTTCTTTTTCTGTTGTTTGTATTATAACCACCCTTCACATCTTCTCTGTCCGTTTCGGAGTAAAATAATGTTCTAATAATCATATATGGACAATTTTGATGTAAAGTTTGTATCGATTTTTATTGCGTTAAATGAAAACGTTTTATTTTGTTATATTTGTTTGTTTTAAGAGAGATTTTTTTTGCTTCACAGGTCACTTTCATGTTTATGTAATCGTACAAGTCATGTAACAACAGCTAGTAATAACAGATGCTGCGGAATAATAATTTTTGTTGAAAGCAATGAAGAGATTCGTAAAATTTACAATATGTTGGGATTTTATTTTACAATAGCTGGATAATTGCTAGGAATTTGATGAATATAATTACAAAACACACACAAACCTAATTTCAGCAACAATATACAAATCATCTGAAACTTTAGCATCGCCAGGATAAACCAGAAAATATACAAAGAACTTTAAAACTTATTATCTCTGTGTAAAGAAAAAAAATCAAAATTGTGAAGTTTAAGCTATAGCATGAGACTTTATCATAGGTCGATATAAAGGTGACCAGAAATTATGTTAACAAAATTATTTAGTTGAGTGAGTAAATTTGTTTACATGATTTATGGACAACCTGCCTGAAGTAAAATAATAGTCGCTTCTACTTTTCATGTCCATTTTATTCACACTCTGTATAAATCTCAAAAACATTCGATTAATAATGAACTTTATATAGGGTGATATGTAAACACAATGGAGTTTGTGACAATTGTCTTTAGTTGTTGTTTTTTCTACTTCTACACAAACCTCAACAAGGGATACCTGTATTTTTTATAACAAATTACAGCTTTTACAGCAAGAAAGAAAAGAGATACCTGTATTATTTTATAACAAGTCACAGCTTTTACAGTAAGAAAGAAAATGGTACCTGTATTATTTCATAACAAGTCACAGCTTTTACAGTAAGAAAGAAAGAGTATACCTGTATTATTTTATAGCAAGTCACAGCTTTTACAGTGAGAAAGAAAAAGGATACCCGTATTATTTTATAACAAGTCACAGCTTTTACAGTAAGAAAGAAAAGGGATACCTGTATTATTTTATAACAAGTCACAGCTTTTACAGTAAGAAAGAAAAGGGATACCTGTATTATTTTATAACTAGTTACAGCTTTTACAGTAAGAAAGAAAAGGGATACCTGTATTATTTTATAACTAGTTACAGCTTTTACAGTAAGAAAGAAAAAGGATACCTGTATTACTTTATTACAAGTCACAGCTTTTACAGTAAGAAAGAAAAAGGATACCTGTATTACTTTATTACAAGTTACAGCTTTTACAGTAAGAAAGAATATTTTTTAAAACAGGTGCGATCGTTCTCAAGTATAAAAGTACTTGTGCATAGCCGTCCCTAATTTTGAAATGATACACTAAGGCTATTCTTATCTAATAGAAGGATAGTACTGTTACACTTATAGCGCACCAACTGTCCCAAATTGTGGAGCGTGTTTTTGCGGCTACGGGACACGAAACAAGCACCTTTGGATTCACAGTCCAAACACGTTAACTCGTAGGTCACGTTCGGGACCGGATGCAATTACAACTTAGATAAATTGTTCCTGAAAAGTTTAATGAACTATGTGTTGATGAACGAACAAAAAAATAAGGTATCTTAGGCAAATATTTTTCATTGAAATTGCGCTAACATTAACTACAATTGCTTCAAATGAAAATATCAGAAATGATATTAAAAAATTATGGTTATTCAAAGGAGAAATGTGATAACGGAGAACAGGCATCCACAGAGCGAATGTTTGTACTAAAACCTTGTTTACAATGTGTTAATATAGGACAGTTATTATACAAACACCAAGCTGTGAACAAAACGTGGATTATTAGTAATCTCTAATCAAAGGATGCTGCCTACCTAGATCAAAAAATAAAAATGAAGCCAGTAAATAAAGTAGCTAATTCAACACATTTCTTTAACTAGGAGTATGCAGTGTGTGAAAACACAAACTTATAATCTTTACATAGCATTGATTAATTAGTTGGGTACCTTCGCTGTTATCTATATTTTCGGTCATAATCTCAGTAATATTTCACGTGATTTGGCCAGCTTAGAAGATTAAAGGTTAGTCTTAACAACGTAAAATAATCGTTATAATAAAAATAGGTATATATATATTAAACATTTTAATCAATACCGGTAATGAAGCTAACAGTATAAAAAATATGGAATATAATTTATTATATGTTTATAATACTCAGTGATCTGTCTCTTAAATACGTAATGCTGTATTATCTGTTTTTACTATCTACTGAATTTTAATTTCAAGTTCTCAAACTTATGGTCACAACGAAGAAAGTAGCGAGGCATAAGACATAACTGTAGTAAATTTGTAATGTTTAGTGTTACATATGATGAGCGCCACGTGGCTCAGTGGTCATTCTGATGGCTTATAACGTTAAAAATCGGGTTTCGATACTCGCGATGGACATAACACAGATAAATAAATAAACATATTGGGCTTATAGCACTTGGGCATATTTTTAATAGGCAATAAGCATCGTGACACCAATGTTTCCATGTATACTGATAGCCCATTGTGTAGCTTTAAGCTAATCAATCCCAAGTTAGGCCTAACCATGTCGATTTCACTAATTTATGCACTCAGAGATGATTGTTACCCACTGTTACAACATTAACCATCTGTATAAAAAACGATATGGTCTGATTATTACTGTAGTTATTCCTTGAGCTTCCGTTCCACAGTTTTAAACTTCACGGTTACAACCATGTTTATTATATATGTGCGTATTGACGATATAGCCTATAGTGTTAAACCGTTCCGTTTACAGTGAAGACAAAAACGTCCTTCTATATAGTCGAAGGTGTTCACATATGTTGTAATGACACATTGCTGTACGCAGGCAGTTTACTAACCTGCTCTAACTTCCGAATTAAACAAAGAGTATATCGTTAAAACGAAGCAGAATTTAATGATAAAATCCATCCATGTTGCAAGTGTGACGTCCTTCTGGTTAAACAGGAGAAACATGTTACCTTACAACGGGAAATGGCGTTATATATGAAATAAAAACCCACCATATATACATATATAAACTTTATATGGAAATCAAGATTCTAAAAAAACAACAATTGAATAATTACTCCCAAGTTGCTTCCCCTATCGAATAAATATATAATGTAGTCTCTGTTTACTTAAGTATGTAATATTACATATAATGGAAAAGAATTGAACTTCCGGACAACAATAGTTGCTTATGGAGTATTTTAGGACTGTGGAACATCATGCAAGACGAATGAACGGACGAGAGTGCATACCGCCCTTCCGTGATCATTATCTTTTCACACTCAACTTTACAAAGTAAATTAATTTAACCAGGTTCAAGAAACTCCGTGGCAGAAATCAATTCATCACGAAACAGCACGTGATAGTTAATCTCTGGGTTTTTATAACTTGGTGATTAAAAACCTGAGGCCTAATTTCTCCTTCACAAGTTTACACCAATATCTCACGAAATCCAGTCACCTTAGAAGACTGAAGTTAGTCCTAAGTCTATATAGAAAGCTAGAAATGTAAACTATTCCTCATAATAAAAACGTATCATAAATAAATAATA